GGGGGGGGGGGGGGGGGGGGGGGGGGGGGGGGGGGGGGGGGGGGGTTGTTGACTTCTTGTGGAACGCGGGTCACGTTTGGGGAAATAGACTTTGACTTCGTGATATCAAAAGCACATGAAGCCACATCATAAAAGGGTGCGGAGGTGTTTGGGTCCTCTCTCAATGATGCTTGAAGTCATGAGGCGGCTAGGGGGAAACGTTTTTCGAAAGGTGTCGAAGGAGAAGTGTACTCATGGCCGTGCATGCCGTAGTCGTTAAACCACCGACCTCGCATCCCTGCAAAGCCGGGACGGAGCACGCCGGGTTCTCACCGGACCAGGCTCCCACACCACCAAGCGCGAAGCGCCGTGAGGTTTTCGGCCAGTCGCATGGAGGGTGCGCTGCACCCTGCTAAGGGTGTTGGCATCTCGTGAGTACTTTCTTGCATACGGATGAAACATGCATAATGGCCGAACATCTTTTCTGTTTTTTCCACTTCCGGATAAAGTTACATAAACTGTGCAACTGCCTCAAGGGTGCTTGACCAATATTGACACGATGTCGTGCGATCATCCCCTTTGCGCAGAGTGAGGGTTCTCGACCCCGCGCAACATAACCTACCCCGACCACCATTTTGGTTCCCGCGAAAAAAAAAAGCGGTAACCTGGTTGTCCAGATCACGAAGAGCCCGGCGTGCTTGTCAAGTCGGTGCCAACCGACGAAAACCCAAATCGCGATGGCTCTCGGANGGGGGGGGGGGGGGGGGGGGGGGGGGGGGGGGGGGGGGGGGGGGGGGGGGGGGGGGGGGGGGGGGGGGGGGGGGGGGGGGGGGGGGGGGGGGGGGGGTCTATTGAAGAATCAGCCCGGGTTTCCGCGTTCTTTCGCGGAAAACACCGACGTGATCGCGGTACGGGACAACGAAATTCTCGGGAAAAGAAACATGGTTGTGCTGTTCCTCAACAGCGCTGGCGCCGCAAGGAAGCAGGGTATAGGAAGTGGCAGACAGCTGGATGGAGTATTGCACGCGTTCTCAAACCGCTTCTCGGCCAGTCCTAGGGGAAGACCGTTTCTCGGCCAGTCCTAGGGAAGGACGACACCAAGAGAGCCAGAGGTTTGGCGAGGCAAAAGGACGGGTCGTGACGGTAGCGTGTCTCCGTTTCCGGTAAACTAGTTTGTCCCATGGCATGGAACATTGGCAGCTACCGGACCAGCCACCGGCAACGACCAAGCCCGGCTGGCGGGAAGCGAGTGTGCTTCTTCCACCAACACATGCGCCGAGGGTTGGAGGGGGGTAGTGAAGTGCTTTCTAGGGCACATGCAACAGGAACTCCCCCAGCCTGAGGAGTTCGTGTTTTGCATGACGGTTTCACTTGCAGAAAGATGCCGGCCGACAACACCGTGTTGCTTTCTCGCACCATCATCTCGATCATCTCAATCATCTCACACCTGGTGGTCAGCATGCCACAAGCCGATAAGAGGTTCCGGTCTCCGATATGATATACTCATTCGCAACCAATACGCGACGATACTATTTGGTCAGAACCGTTGTCAACGTATCAAACTTCACCAACGACGACGAACCACAGACCACTACCACAGAAACGAAGACAGCATCAAGAACGACAATGACAATGGGGTGGGGGGGTGGGGAGGGGGGAGTTCCTTGACTTGTCTCCGCGAGAACGCGACGAGCGAGCTTCTGCATGATACTCCATACATGGTGAACGGAAACAGAGGCAACGAGATTTTCGCTCTTTTTTGGGCTGCGAACGGCCGAGCGTCTCGCAGGTTTCCACGAAGCGACCGTTCACCACAGACAACAACAACAACAACAACAACAACCAACAAACCAGGTGTTCGGTCCTCAAGAGATAAAGATAAGACGAGTCTAGGCCACCAAGGCCGGCCACACCTGGTCGGACTTGAAGAAGGAGATCTGGGTAGACGCTCCCCCGAGGTCCAGCGTGCCCACGGTCGTGTTTCCCGACGACATCGCCGTCCCCACCCCCTCGCTGAGGGCAAGGAGCTCGCCGCGCAGAAAGTTAACGGCCGCCCAGCCGTAGATGCCCTCCTACGTTGCGTTTCGCGGAACCGTGAAAAACAAACAATGATAACAATTTTGGTGCAGAGGGGGGGGGGGGGGACATCCTTATTCGTTGGCTACTTTTTTTTCGTGGGGGGGCAGGAGCTGCCGCCCGTGGGCAGTGAGAGTTGATTCAGCCGCCGCCGACCTTGATCAAGGGCCATTGTGCCACAATAAATAGAGAAAATAGAGCTGGGCGCGGGCACGGTGAAACGGCGAAAAAATGACGGCGTTCTGGGGGCTGCGCGGAATGGTAGGGGATGCGGGCCGTTTCCGCCTCCGCCAAGGGCCCGTTCCTGATCTGCGCGCGAGCGTACTTGCATACATGAGCGACAGAAGGAAGGAAGGATTATGTTGATGGTGAAAACGCAACATCGGGTAGAGAGGAATTTTCCGGCGGCGCCCTAATTTGGCAAGTATTGTTCGATATCTCGAACCAGTCGAGTTGTCTCATCAGCGGAAGAAGCTGGGGATGGAGTTCGAATGGTAAATGAAAAAGAAAATTCCCTCGGGACAAATCGAAAGCATGACATTTGAAGTTTCCGAAAACTCTCCAGTAAGAGCGCTTGACAACAGCAGGGGTTCTGCAACGTCCAGACGTTGAATATTGCCCAACCGTTGGGCGCCCCATTCCGCACCGCACACGTGAGAAAGAGGAAAACACCCGCTTTAAAGCTTTGGCAGGCGTCAGCAAAATATTCAAAGGAGGCGTTCGTTCATCCTGTCTTTCGAGGAAAGTACGGCGGTATATGTTGTTGAGGACCGTGGGTAGGACAGGTGTATGCATGTGCAAATTATGTATGTTCACCCACCTTCTTTGCCTCCAAACCATCCAACAAATCCAGTCCTCTTCGTTTCGGACACAGGCGACCAGACAACACCTTGCGCTCAGGTCCACCGCAGCGAACTGATGATGACGGCCTACCCGAAGGAATGCCCGTAACAACATTTGCAGCAGAAAAAAAAGAGGGGGGAGGGAGGGAGAAAGAACAGAACACGCACCTCCTCCCCAGATATGACCCTGGCGTGATCGAACTGGAAGTAGAACGGGCAAGTCTCGGGGTTGCCCAGGAAGTCTCGCACGGCCGACAAAAGCGCCTCGCGGTCGCCGTACGGCAGCTGCCTCACGCCCGCGGTGGCCTTGAGGTATATGGGGAACCGCTCCCAGTCCTCTTCGTAGTCCTTTAGGATTTCCTTCGCGAAGTCCACCAGGGGGGATAGGGCTTCCGCGACATCCTTTTTCATTGCGGAAGTCCGCACGTGAGAGAGGGGGCATCGAGAACGGAGCAGGGAGAAGAAAACGTTATCCGTTGCAGAAAAATGTGTGAAAGGAGATTGTGTTGCAACCCTTGATCTTTTGTAACGCTGACGGGCCTCTCGCAGGTGCGTCGAGACAAAAGCGTGCTGAATGGTGAATAGGGGAGGCAGGGGGAGCCTGACAAAAAAAAAAAAGGATGCCGGTGTCCCGCGAGACTGGTCGAGCCCATGGACAGAAAAACACTTCACGGCAACTCCTAAACCTTGCCCGTGCACGACGTACCGAAACTGCTAACGAAAATCAGTCAACGGCGTAGCGCTCGCAGCCAGCAACGTCCCACACGCTCCTCATCCCCCCGTTGCAACCACTGCCTCCCCCCTCC